TGGGTGTGTGACCAGGAAATCAACGTCCCCGCACATGATGCGGCCCCGTCGGTACGACCCAGTCACTTCACACGACACCTGCACACACGACGGGTGACATCAGCGGGCTGTCTAGCGCGTGGCCAGCACTAGGGAAACCGTTGGCCGAGTACAAGCAGCACATTTGTCAGGCAGAGGGACGCAGGATTGAACAAGATCCTGCGCAAAGGTGGGTGGTATCTTTCCCCGGTGAGGGCTAGTGCGCCCCAGGCCCGCACAGCTGGCCGCGGCTCTGCCGGCTCACCCCGGGGCAGATGGACTCCGCTTGCGCCTGGACGAGGGCATGGATGCGGGCCACGTCATCGCGGCTCATCTTGGCCCCAATCTCCTCGTAGTAGCGCAGCCCCAGCTGGGCCTGCCGGCTCAGCGAGGGATCCCCGCGCAGGTCGGCCAGGCTGCGGTGGCCGCGGCTGTACAGCTCGAGGGCGGTCTTGGCACCAACGCCAAACACGGACGAGAAGAGGCGCAGAACACGCAGCTGCACACGCCAACAATGCAAACGGGTAAGGACAGAGAGTATACATGGCACAGTTATCTAGTATAGAAATCGGGGGCGAGCCTGTTGTAGGGGGGTAAGTCATCGGTCCGAAATTGAACATCTGAACAGCCACAAAAGATCGTACGGCTCCAAATGGGGGCTCTTTCAAGTGTCTTGTGCCCGGCCTGCGGCCATGCCAGCCCCCTTTTAAGCCCCCTCACCTTGGCGTCGCTCTGCAGGCTGTCCAGCTTGGCGAGGCGGCCAGTCCCCAGAATCTCCTTCACCTTGTCGCGCACCTGCTGCCCCACGCCCATCACGCCTGCCAGCTGCTCCGCACTGGCGATGCGGAACGAGAGGCGCTCCAGTACCCCCACCGCGCGCCGATAAGTCAGGGCGCGCCACTCATCGCCCAGGGCTGCCACACATACGCACACAGCACAGGCAATGATTGCAGCTGGACAGGTGCCAGAAACACACCTGCTGATTCTGACCGACTTCGCTCGCAGTAGAGCAACTTGTATCCACGGTTCACGTCAGCGAAGCCCTCTGCCTGCCTGAGCCATGCAAGGGGCCGATATTGTTATCCAAATCTTCGGCAGATTGCTCGCAAAGCAGCACCTTCAATTTGTTGCGACACAGAAAAGCCCACTCATCACTACTGGATGTGATAAGAGAGAAACTCTTCATGTTGTGGGCCTGAACAATGCCCACCCACAGGAGCCCACCTTCATAGATGTCCTTAAGTTCCCGCAGGTGCCGCGTGATGTGCTCGTTCAGGTCCAGCGGAATGTCGCCCTCCGCACCCTCCAGGGTGCTCTCATCATCTACCTCGGGATACTGAGAGGCTTCGCATCCATCCTGTGTCTCGGCCCCCTCCTCGCGTGGCCTGCCCTGCCTCCGGAGGGCCACCTCCGTGCGCATCCACTCCTGCAGACGCTCCTCCCGGCTGCCGCCCCTCGCTCCCCGCGCCTGGAGAGCGTCTCGCACACATGGCCCCGCCTCATCGTCAGAGCCGTCAGACCCAGCTCTGACACCACAGGCTGTGCCCTCCCGTTGCACCCTGTCGTTGCTTGGAGATGGATGTGACAGCGCCGGGCAGTTGGTGCTGTCGTCCAGAGATAAGCTGTTGTTAAGAGGCAAAGACAATCCTGAAGTAGGTAAAGGCAGCGGCTCGTAGCCAGGGCTAGCGGCTTTGGCAGTGACATGTTCCATGAGTGGCGCTGGGCAAGCCCCACCAGCAGTGCCGGGTTGTTCGCTGCCCGTGGGCCCCTCTTTGTCATGCTCGTACCAGCCCACTTCCCGCAGCAGAAAGTTGTCCACCGGCACCTGCGCTGCGCTGGCCAGGCACTCCTCCAGCCACTTGAAGCTGACCGCCACAGCCCGCGCAGCGCGCCCCACCAGCTCCACCTTCTCCATCCGCTGCTCTAGCCGCGCAGTGGTGGCCGCTGCAATGTGCGTGGCAACATCGATGACATCGGCAGTAGTGGGGCCGGACGAGAGCGTGCGGCAGCTCCCGCCCAGCGCAGTCACCTTGCGGCACCATATCTGCAGCTGCTTTTCCAGTATTCCCCCCCCTGGAATCAGAACCATGTGGACATCGCGGAAGATGCCGTCCTTCTGGACAACCAAGGGATCTGAGGCCGTCCTCTTGCAGCTAGCGCGGGCCGGCCTCCCAGGCCCAGGGGACCTCTTCATCCCGGCTGCCCACCCCAACAGTGACACTTGCACGAGCCCAGCCCCGCAAGGAACAACGTGTCGATGCACAGGACAACTTGCCACCACAAGGTGGATAAGGAGGCGGTCAGACTCAAAAGGTATGGCCCCCTGAAGAGGCGGCCTCCCATGCATGCTCATGCCAATCGCAGGAACCTCCACCTGCTGGGCACTCCCTGGCGTTCCCTCCTGCATCATGTTTTTGTGGGTACGATAGCAGGATTTATCTCCTTGATTCCTTCATAACCCAAACAGATCGTAGACAAACTGCGTTCTAGATCGAACCCATTGTGCACCTAGGATCCTGTTCCCAGCTCGACGCGCGACTTTTAGGGTTAACCTGAACCTGACCCTGACGCGGAATTGATATTCCCTGGGGGTGTCCGCTTTTGGAATATTGTTAACGTGGTATATTCCGGATATTCCAAGATTCACGCAACTCTGAAAATGAAGGAACTGAACAAGACTCAAGAGTGAAGACCCGAGTTCTTGGATGAGGCTTGGATCCAGCAGATGAGGCTTTTGCTTGATTTTGAAGTTTCTCTGCAAGCAAACACTCGGGAAGTTGGAGCGAAAGGAGCAAAGGCAAGGGAGGGCTTTCGCTTTCAAAACCTTAGAACAGGGTCAATACGAAGACGCGAACAAGCGTTGAAAGTTTCAGGAAGCTCTTTGTATGTCAGCTGCCTAGTCAGCAGAAAAAGCTTGAAAACGTGAAGGGGAAGGGCAGTTTCCAGTGCCATTTCGCCTGAATGGTCTAGCTAGCGCTGATTGAGAGCATGTCAAGAATGAAAGGTTCTTGACGTAGACAACTTTCGTTTGTGGCCTACAGGAATGTTTGGAGAGACGTCTAAACAATGGCCTATGGGTCTGAGGAACTCATTGTTGGGTATGCTCTTACGGAGAAGAAAAAGAAAAGCTTCATAAAGCCCTCACTGGTGGAACTTGCTAGGTGCGTCTCACGCTATGGGGTCCACCTCTTTGGCTCCTCATGAATGTCCAATGTGCTTGGCTATCAGTTACATGTTGTTCTGATGCTTGAGAATTGCCATAGACTTTTAGCTGTTCCCAAACTTGCTGGTATAGTTTGCTAGGTCTAGCGGGAGAGTCCTTGTTATCCTTTTTCCTAGCACGCACATGAATATCTCTAGTTACAAGTCATTACCAAGCTTCTTGGTAGGGAGCAGGGTCCACCGGCAGTTATGCATGAACTTCGCATCGGAAAGAAAGGTGCATGGAGATTCTGCAATTAGTGTGAATGTTGACTGTCACCTGGTTGCTGACATTGTTACGCTTGTGGTGATGTGCATCCCAGGGTGTCAATGACGCTGCTAACCCTAGAAGTTGTATATTGTGGAGAATTAGACTTGTGTTTCACATCACCAGAGAAATTGGAGTTCAGTTGGTGCCTTCAAAGAGGCAGCACTCGTTGAATTGCCGCTAAGGCAGACCTTATCACTCTTACCATGACGCATCACCTTCACTCATGAATGCACCATTGTTCAGCTTGTGATGCAGCCGCAATTCGGACCTCAAATCTTCTCTGGATGATGGAGAGGCTGCAGCTTATGTTTACCAGCACCACATAGACTTGCCCGGGACTGAAAGTCTGTCGAACACGGCAGATTTTGCTTGTTTTGAGTTAGGACCCAATTGAGCTGCTCAATGGGACCACTGATAGCCTGAATCGATGTGCAGGTCAAAAGGCATCCAGCTTGTGGCAGTTAATACCAGCATCCCTCTCGTCCAGCAAGGTCCTTTCCATGTCATCCTTCACAAGGTGATTCTTTGACACAAGGCTTCTGCAGCCGGCACACGCTGCTAACCAATTTCAGTGCTAAGAGGATTGAGCAAAGGCAAGGAGGCAGCTTCAGAACACCACTCTGTGCATGATTCTTATTTGCGGGTGTTCGTTGCATGCTGCTGCTTGCAGAACTCTATGGCGTCAGTCTGCAACATTGCAGCTGTTGAGAGAGTCTTCACAACTTTTCCCTTTCCACTGCAGATATCCGGCCCGGAATGGGCTCAGCAGCTGGAGGTACGACACACGAGGCATGCAAGATGTTCTGGCATGATGATCGCAGCATTCTTTGTATGTTGCGAGGATTCGGCTGCTCGCAGGCCCTGGCATGCTGTTGCACCCATTTGCTGCTAGGGTTGGGTCGTGTTTCAAACATTGCCCTCCAGTTGAGCAATCAACACGGAATGGGTGCCCACCATTTATGCCATACCAAGGATGCTTAGCGCCATTGCTTTCATTCTTTTGCAGGCCTACCAGCAGGCCCACCCAGATGTCTTGATCATCGATCCGCCTGACGCGATCAAGCAGTTGCAGAATCGGCAGTCCATGCTCACAAATGTCGTCAAACTGGACCTGCTGGATTGTGGTGGTAAGACGGTCTGATATGCTGTGTGCTGATCGGCTCAAATCTTGACGGCTCTTAATCTCCAAAAAATGCATCAGCTGTCTTGCACGAACATGGAATGCAGTGTCTATGCATACTTGAAGCCGCTGCCAGTTGCCCGAAGTTGAGCTGCTGATTGGTGGTATCCATCGCTAAATGGCAGCACTACAAGCTCACGTTTGGGGCGCCTGAAGTCTCTCAACATACCAAATGGCAAACCGATATTTGAGATTTGAAATGGTAGCAGCCAGGCGCTTTGAATTTGGAAGCCAGTTCTCAATCTCAGTGGATGTTTGGGCGCCTGAGGGCCAGATTTGGTTCTGGCAAGTGACATAGACCTTGTGAAGGAGCGATCGTAGCATCTAACTTGCTGTGCGTGCTGCTGTGCTGCAGCCAGCGTGGGCATCCCCCGCCAGCTAGTTGTGACCAGCGACCCTGCGTCCGTACCGGAGCTGGTGGCGGGGGTGGGCCTCAGGCTGCCCTTAGGTGAGCGCCCACTCCTCGTGTTGCCAAGCACCGGGAGGGTCAGAGCTTGTTGCCGTGGGTACATGTTTTGAGGTTGTTGCCCATGCGGTTGAGATACGTTGTGTTGCTGTTGCAATGGTTGAGTTGGTTACGAGGTACATGTGGCGGAGCAGATTTTGAGCTGCTTCTGCTGTGCTGGTCGATTGCCTCTTAAACCATGACCCTTGCATTGTTCAAGAGTGCAAGAAAGGTTGAGCTCCTAGTGAAGGCTCGTTGGTAAACTTAACAATCTGGTTGTGTCATGCCTGGCTGGGCTGGCCGTACACACCCGTGGTGGTGCCATCTGACCTCCGCTTCTTTTGGTGCTCCAGTTGCCAAGCCTCTTGTGGCCGATGGCACCGCCAAGTCCCACGCCATGGCGCTGGCGTACGACGAGAGGAGCCTGGCCACGTTGGAACCCCCCCTCGTCTTGCAGGAGTTTGTCAATCATGGTGAGACGCCCTCTCAAGCAATTGTCTCGGGGGTCGGCTTGTCTGCCCCAGGTCGACCAGGCCAGGAATCGAGGGAGCCTGGCATGCATGATGCTACAACAGGCGGATGACTGGGCAGGCTTGATTTTTATGGTTTGAAATCATAGAGTAGCGAATGTGAAAAAGGTCTAAAGCTTGACTTGTTCCTTCGTCAGTGGAACTGAGACCCTCCAGTGCTGTTGGTTTTAAGGATACTTCTTCTGCATAAGTCTGGATAGAGATCAACCCGTAAAAAATAAGAGGAAAACGGAATGTGTTCAAGCTGAGGAGTTTGCATGCTGCTTCTGATCATTCAGGCTGCACGACATGTGCTTTGGCCTGCATAGTTCATGTTGACGCCGTTGTCGGCATCCTGGGCGCTTATTCCTGCCTCTGTTGAAATTTTGCTCCAGGCGGGATCTTGTTCAAGGTGTACGTCATTGGCGACGAGGTGAACGTGGTCAAACGCCTCTCGCTCCCGGACATGGAGGAAGGGAAGGAGGGGGATGACATTGGCGTGCGCTCCTTCTCACGTGTTTCCAGTGCAGCTGCTTCCCTGAATGAAGCAGGCTTTGAGGCAGTCTCTAAGACAGCAGGCAAGTGCGCTCTGCATCTTTGCCGGTCAGCTTTCTGCCGCAGACATTTCAGCTGCTGTCTTCTAGGAAGCCACAAGTACTGCCCTTAATTATTGTCCCTTAGCCTTCTGTCCTTATTGGCCGGATGCTCTGTGAGCTCGGTCTGACGCCTGACTCCCTTCCTTTTGTTCCCTGCAGGAGAAGTTCCCCCGGAGCCCTTGTTGAGGAAGCTGGCCGAGCAGCTGCGTGAACGACTGGTGAGGGTCGTCCCCATCCTGGTTTGTATGCCAACTGGCGGCGTGTCATTGCAAACACCCCGTCTGGTCTGCCTACAGCGGTGCTTACGTCAGTCTCGCCGGTCGTCATCGAGGGCAAAGCCAAGCCTAGACTTTTCAAGCTGTGCTCTCTTGTGCCAGTGGAAGTGGCAGGTGCCTGCCCTCAAGTCTAGGTTCTGATGTGGCCCAAGCTCGTGCAGGGCTTGCATCTGTTCAACCTGGACATGATCCGGGAGAACGGGGCAGGGAACAAGTACTACATTATCGACATAAATTACTTCCCAGGTGAGCCGCACTCGCGTCACCGGAAGCATGCGATTCTTCTTTCTGATCCTATTGGGCTTGGACGTTTATTGCTCAGCCTCAGGCATTGGGGCTCTTGGTTTCCGAATCCACCGCAATTTGGCCAGGGTTCGTAGTATGCGTTGCAAGTTACACCAAGCGAGAGCTGCCTTTTCTGCAGGCTATGGGAAAATGCCTGAGTACGAGTACGCGTTCGTCAATTTCCTCTTGTCATTAGCCGCCCGGCGATCTGCAGTAGCTGCCACACGGTCAGGGTCTGAAAGTGGGGAGAAAGGAGACCGGGTGGGGTTCAGGGAAGGTGGTGCATCGGCTGACCGAGTGTCGTCGGATAGTCCTCATGACGTGCACTCTGAAGCTAGCTTGCGAGGTGAAGCAACGAGCGGGTACGGTTCCTTACGGGATCCGACACAAGAGTTGCCGCCACGGCATGAAGGTTTCGGCACGGCTCACTCCAGGGCCCGTACAATACCAGAGTCTGCTAGGCATTTACCGGATCCAGCACTGGTTGATGGCTTGAATGCACAGTAATCGTTCCTTAGGGTCGTAGATTAGGGCCCAGGTAAAGCAGGTAGAGTGCATTGTATTGGCTGCCAAGCTGAGATACTGTCGGCAATGGCTTGACACAAGGTTCAAATGTGTGATACCCTATATTATCCCAAAGCAAAGTGGTGATGCCAATTAAATTGCACGAAGATATTTGATCTTGCTCATATCATAGCTTCTGCAAATACGGTGGAAACGGTTGTCCCTTTATCCTGGCAGCCCCCTCATACTTCGAAATCCAAATTTTGAAAGCCTATCACATCGAGCCTTTCCAGTCGCTGACCACCGCGTCAGAGCAGCCACCAAATCAGAAACCACGAAAGGCTGGCGAGCACGCACGTATATCTATTTGCAACAATATGCGCGTAGAATCTTCAATCCACCTCAAGCTACGCTCATGCATTATATTACGGCAAGCATGTGCTTGCCGTAATCGATCGTCCGCGTATGCATGCATGACAATAATCTATAAGCAGAAACTTACAGCTAGCGGTGAATCGCATATATACGTACGGTGGAATATATAACCGCGCGCGGCTCTAGCTCATCATTGATCGACAACGTAAGATCATATGCATGCACTATATTACAACGCGTCTAAGCCATTTGATTGGATTTCAAAAGGCACTGCCAATAGGCTTAGTAGCTCAAATAATATTTCAAGTTTGCCGCGCGATCGTCGGGATTGATCGTGAAAATGGCCCGGGGGCCGCCCTCGAAAAGTTCGACGATCGATCGCAAAATAAAATCAAAAAGGTTCTGCTGTAGGGCTGCCGTAGCTCATGCAAAACTCACGGTAAATTCACTTAAGGATTCCGGGAAAGCCCAAACTCATGCCCGGGCCTTTTTTTAGGGTTTCAGGGTTTTAGGGTTTCAGGGTTTTAGGG